TAAAACTAAGACTACTAAATTGATAGTCGGTGGTATTGGGTCGACATGGGCTCAACTCGAGAGAGTGAACTCTAGTCCTTCTCCCACACATTCAGCTCGAGAGAGTGAATGGGCAAAGGTGGAGGCTATGCTTAATGCGGAAAATCAGTGTTCGAGAGAAATCGAGTTGATTCGGGGTAAGTTGTTTGAGAGAGAATTTACCCTCACTATAGTCTAGCCTAGTCACAAATGTTCAACAATTTACTATCAAAAGCATGTACCCGATAGTCTAGTTTATCCCGTATTCCTATCACATCCCAAGAATCCCGTCTCCATATCTAGTTTCCTTACATTTTTGCTCCTTTTTAGTTGTTAGTTAATACAAACCCCCCATTGATAATTGACGTTTGCGTCACTCCTTAGATTTAGCATCTTTTTATTCGTTAATATTTGTAGCTATGACTAATTATAACTTGATTTTATTTTTCTACTAATTCTCAAAACCACTCCCTGTGGGAACAATCCCAACCCTTGGTTGGGTTATATCACTACACGCGATCGTTTGGCACTTGAACCGAAATAGTGTTAGTTGATTACGTCGAACATCAGTGTCGCCTCTAATGAATTTATAGCCTTTTCCTTAGCTGTTCATGTCACTGCGTAGGATACATCTACTCCATGGTCTAGTCTAACATCACCTTGTATATTCTTTGGTATTAACTTTCTTTTACGATCTACTAGTTTGGGCTTGATTATCCCTCCAACAAGACTATTTGTTGCTTGTTACTGATAATACACCTGGTCTTTCAAGGGACATGTATGTTCATTTATGAACTACTTATTCTAAACATTTCCGATGTATTGATATTAGATGACTTCATTATTCATCCACAGTTCTTAGACACAGAAACAAGTGTATAAATATTCGAACGATTAAGGATACAAATACACATAATATATTACAAGATGATCATCAGTAGAACAAATAATTAAGTATGCAAATATAAAAGTATACAAATATACATACCTGATTTGACTTGATTTGTTTGTTTTTCACTGGAACCTATGATCAATGGCATATTACATTATCACAGCTTTTAAAGTTCCCTTGTCCCTGTAAACTTCATCTACCATTACTTCATTTTAATTGATGTTTGAAATAATATCAAAAATTATCATATCTCTCATGAATGGCACACCAAGCACTAATGCTTATGTATCAGCTGTATCACCTCCATCTATTCCACATATTTCAACCCCGTCTTCATCTAGATTTCTATCAGTTAATTCACAATCCTTCACAAATACAGTTACACAAAGGGGATACTTTGTCAAATCCTTGTTATCTTTCTTCAGCGACATATACACTCTTACACAAATTTCGTTGTGTATTCTCAAAGAGGCATTACTACCTTCTATCTTATATTTAAGCTCATACAATTGTATCTCAAATTAGCACTAATTTGTTTAGCAATTTTCTCCATTAAATCTCTAAATGTTGCATACGTTTTCATCATAATTGCCTCTATTTGTGTAATTAATGTAGAATTTTTTTTCGTTCCATCTTTCAAAATGTATGATCAGAATACTAATGCTCCCCATAACTACATTGTATTCCAACAATCTTTGCCTCCAAGTCATTAATACATACATATTTACATTCATGTAACAAACACAATTCGTATTGCCGAAAAGTATACGCAATAATTGAGAAATGTATGTATTTTATTTTCTTGTAGTCAAGATTAATAATTGTATCCTAGTAATGTCCCTTCGGGGACATCCGATAAAATTGGAACGAATCTAGCATGTCCCCCAATACAACCAAATTAATATTCATGGTAACAAACACACTTTGTATTTAAAAAAAATTGTATTCCATAACTATCAAATATATTTATCTTTTTTTTTCTATTTCAAAAATATATTATAATTAATATATACTTTGTATAACATTCATTAAATTGTATGCCAAATTATTTCAATAATTACCTGAATGTATCCTAACCACAAATGATCTTGTATTTTAAACAATCAGCTACAAAATACTATTATGAACTACAAATTTGTATTCAATATATTTTGTTCAAAATTCAGTCAAACCTACAATTCTTCAATCACACTAAGAATCACAAACTTATTATTGTATACAAACAAATTGCATTCATACTTATTTTGTATTCAAAAAAGCAAACATACAAAATTTCAAATCCATTCAAAGATTCTGACTATTTTATCACAAAAATAAATTATCTAGGAAAATCAAAATGTATTCATGTTAAAACTTTCAATAGCCATATTTGAAACACTTCCAAACAAATTAACGATTCACCGAGTTAATGAATACCCGATCGATTATGTATTTTACCGATTATCTCGAAGATCAAGTTGAAAATTTCGTGCCAAATATGTATATCACCGAAATTCTAATCGATTATTTAAAAATCTTCTTCACCGCCAACAAAAAACTCAAATAAATAGACTTTTCGACATAGATTGAGTATTATCAATAGAGTGTTAAAAGTTGATATTGAATTTTGAGGAATAAGGGAGAGAGGCCCCCTATCGATTATTGTTTGGAACGTAATTGACTAAGAATTTCAGTGATATTTACCTTATTTGAAATATTAATTCCTCTGATTTTCTCCAATTTGATATTACCTAATTATATTCTGCCAAATTAAACAATATATTTGTTTTTTTTACATAAGTCAGCTCTACAACAAACTAAAATATAATTATTTTTAATGAATATTAAAAATATGATTAAAAGATCCGGTTAAATACTAAAGAGTAAATTTTAGGTTTAGCAAACATAAAAATCATAATTATGTGTTATAACTATAGTTTGTATAATTGCGCTCCATAACAAACTTTATATTTGTTATGACTATTAATTTGTATATTTCGGTAAACATATACATAAACAATATGTATTTGGGTCTATTTGTATATTTTGGAATACAAATGGGTCCTACATCTGTATATTTTGGTATACAAATGGGTCATGCATTTGTATATTTTTGTTAAAAAATCTGTATTTGAGTCTATTCGTATATTTCGGTATACAAATGGGTCATGCATTTATATATTTCGGTATACAAATGGATCCTGCATTGGTATATTTTGATATACAAATGGGTCCTGCATTTGTATATTTCAGTTAAAAATCGGGTCCTGCATTTGTATATTTCGGTATACAAATGGGTCCTGCATTTGTATATTTCGGTATACAAATGGGTCCTGCATTTGTATATTTCGGTATACAAATGGGTCATGTATTTGTATATTTCGGTATACAAATGGGTCATGTGGCAAAAAACATGAAATGTTTACTGCGAATTACAAATAAAAGAAACTATGACTATAACATTCAATTTGAATTAATAATTTGCTATTTCATACAATTTTCCAGTACTAAAATATACAAAAAAATTCCCTTAAAAGGACACAAAAGTCCAGAAGCATCTATTAGGGTCTGTTTGGAAAGCAACTTGGTAATTGAAATTGGTGTAATTACTAGGGTAGTAATTACCAGCCTAGTAATTACACTGTCTAGTAATTACACTGACTTGTTTGTTTGGCACAGTGTAATTACACATGTCCTGTTTGGATGCCACAATGTAATTACACACGTTCTGTTTTGGATGCACAATTGCAATTATAAAATTATAATAAATTTTAAAATAAAAAATTAATTATTTAAAATTTATACTAGACAAATAAGAAACTTTATAAATGACATTAAATTAAATATTTAAGATATATATTCTTTTTTTGAAAATATATTAATTAATAAACATATTTTCTGTAACTACTATTATGAAAAAATAATTGATTTATATTTTTTCAAATTAATATATTTCAATTGAATTGATCGTAACAACTAAAAATATGAAGTTTCTACGAATATCGTAAAATGCATGTTTGATAAAAAGAATAATATATAAATAAAATGTCATAAATTATTAAATGTTTGAACAAAAATAATGATCTATTAAGTCTAATTAAAAAATGACGTGCAATGTAAATTCAATATTACTAAAACAAATGAAACTGAAAATATAACATAAGTTATAAATTCAAAACAAAAAATTTAACATAATACTCTTATAATAAATTTTAACATAGCAATAGGAGAACAAGAAGAAAATGAAATATAATAATATAAAATAAAAAATAAACTTTTACAAATTTTTAGAATAATAAAAATAAAAAAAGAACTTAAAATAATAGAAGTAAAAAATTTAAAACAAAAAAATAAAAATAGAAATAAAAAAAAAGAAATTAAAAAGTAATCAGGTGGTCAGCAATTCACAGTCTCTGCCTGTGAATTGTAGAATGTAATTACCTCCTGCCAATTACACTAATTACCTGCTGACCAAGTAATTATCTGTCCTTCCAAATAGGACAAGACAATGTAATTACATCCCTACACAAAATCCAATTGCCGGGTGTTCTTCCAAACAGGCCCTTAATAGCAAATCAATTTCAGTAGGAGGGAAAGAGAGGAAAACCAAGAAAAAAGAAACCAGTATCATCAGCGAGCCGTAGCCGGAGTTTCACTCTCGCCGTTTCCCCAAAAGAAGCGGTTGAACAGATCAAAATGGTCTCGTCGGCTATAGTGAACACATACCCACTCTCTAGCTATACATTTGGCACAAAAGAGCATAAAATGGAGAAGGATTCATCCGTTGCCGATCGCCTTGCTCGTATGAAAGTCAAGTACGTTCCTTTTGCTTTAACTTTCCTTTTGTTCTTCAAAATTTTCTCGTTGTTATGGCACTTGGACTAAGTGATTCCCTAAAACCCTAGATTAAACCCTTTCGGTACTTAATACTGTCCTGTTTATTTTGGACGCATCTCAATCTAATACTTAATTATTTGGATTAACAAATTAATAGGCGTTTAGACAATATTTGAATTGAAATTGATTTTGAACATGAATTTCATTTTGAAATGATGGTTTTGTGAAAGTTGTAGATTTCACTTAGAATACATCATCAACAAGAACATACACAGTGTAATCTCACAAGTAGGGTCTGGGGAGTGGGGAGGGTAGAGTGTATATAGATCTTGCCCCTATCTTGGGATGTAGAGAGACTGTTTTCGACGGACCTTAGACTCAATATTTTAGTATTGCACTTGAAATTCAGAGAAGTTCAGTATCACACTTAAGCATTTGCAAAAATACCTAAGTTTAGTATTCATGCCTAAACTGGTACTAAGGTTCTCTAGTACTCAACGTGTTCTACCTTATTTTTTATTAACAAACATCTAAGATAAGGTATTGTTTGCAGCTACATGAAGGAGGGAGTAAGGACAAGTGTTGAAGGAATTCTCTTGGTATGGTTCTCCATTCTTCATTTCAATTTTTAATGCTTCTATTCACGTTAGCTTTAATCTCACCCTTTTTGATACTACTGTCACTTTTTCCGAAGCCTCCCCCCCAATAAAAAAATAAAGAGAAGAAAAAACCTCGGGGGTGGATGTATATGTCTGGTTTTGTTCTAGATGCTGACTTATGTTCTGTGTGCTGCATCTTGTTGCTAGTTTATTATCACTTATAAAGCAGACAAGTTTTGTTTACAATGCACCTAGATGCAAATCTCAACGGGCAACATGAGAGAATAATTTTAGGATAATTTCCTGAAGTTTGAACTGAATTCCCTAAGCTCAAGTGGCTGTTTTTCAACTAATCTGCCGTATTTTCAAGTTATGGATATTGATTGTTACAAACATTACTAGGAGGGATAACATTAGGAAGGAGGATAGTCGGGACAAGGTGGAGTGATCTCCGTGGTGGAAAAGATGCCGGGAACGAGATTGAGATGGTTCGGGCATGTGAAGAGGTGGAACATAGATGCCTCATTGAGGAGGTGTGAGAGTGGCAGTGAAAGGTTTGGGGAGCGGTAGAAGAAGAATCGGGGAGAGGTGATTAGACATGATATGACAGATCTTCCGCTCACCGAGGGCATGATACTAGATAGGAGAAAGGGAGGTCGAAGATTTGGGTAGAAGGTTAGTAGGTAGTTAAGCGTTGTCTCTCTTATCTGTGGGTGAGCTTGGCGCTAGTTTAGAACACTTTATTTGCTTACCTTTCCCTTATCTGTCTCACTACTATTGTGTGTGTTCTTTTTTTACTTTGCTTATCTCTACTATTTTTTGTCGTCAATACTTTACTCGTCTTACGTGTTTTTCAACTTAGGTTTTCACTCTTGTTTTTTTTTGAAAAGTTTTCACTCTTGGATTTCTCAAACCTGTTTTAAAAATGCTTTTATCGAGCCGAGGGTCTTATAAAAAACAACCCCTCTACCTTACCTAAGGTAGGAGTAAGGTTTGCGTGCACCCCACCCTCCCCGGACCCGATTTATGGGATCACAGGTATGTTGTTGTTGTAATACTTTACCGAGGTAATGTCAGAAATTGTACAGCATGCCCGAAACCTGTTAGGGAAGAGTTAAGAAAGTATCTTGGAAATAATAATGAGATCAGACGCACATGCTTATTTTGATGATCAATGCCACCTTTTTCAAAATCTAAGAATGTGGGTGATGAATTTATTACTATATACAAGTATATGTTGACTTGTAGATAAATTTGGCTATTAGACAGAAGGAAAAAATGTCACGAGGTAAAAAGAAAAAGGAACAGACAGATACTCATTTTGTGGCTTCCCTTTCATGTCTAATAGCTGTTTGATTTCCAAAAGGTTCATTGGCATGCTCACGTCTTCATCTATCCTTCCACTCTCTTGAAATAACGAGCGTATATATCTAAATTATTTGCATTTTGATACCTCAATCTCGGCTAGTCATGACCTCATCTTTGCTCTTCTCAATGTTGACTAATGACTAACCTTGGTGTGCATATATTCAGTTTTACTTCCATTTATCCTAAAGCCTTTTGGAGTCGTTTGATTTTAAAAACAAGTTGCTCAATGATTGTAAAACATGGATTAATAATGTAGGGATTGGGAATCTCAAAAAAAAATAAAAAATGTAGGGGTTGTGATGCAAAGATTATTTTTTATCAGGTGTTTGGTTCATTGCATTGAAAATGAGATATGTAGTGTATAATTTAAATCATGTGTTTGGTCTTAAGTTAGATAATTTTTTGTTTCCAATTATACTCTTGGTCCTTGATGAAAGAGAAATGACCAAGGTATTAAAAAACTTTGGAGAGAAGGAAATTTTGTCAATTCGATTATTTTTCATGTGTAACTAATCAATGTAATGCTTATCCCACATAGGAAATGGTATATAATAAAACGATGATTCTTGTATAAGTTATACAATGATTATTATACCAAGAAAGAAAATAGAAACCAAACAGAGGAACAAACGTTGTACAGTTCTATACTATAACTACTTTATCCTATACTGCAAATTGGACGACCCCTTACTCTCTAAAGTATTTCTCCCTAGTTCAAGTGCTTTTGGTTGACACCTCCCTGGTTTCATCAATTAAGTGAATTGGCACAATATAATCAGCAAATAGCATAGACTACGAGATTTCATCTAGTATTGTGTTGGTTACCTCATCTATAATTAGGGTTAGCTTGTTTTTCCTTCCTCTGATATTATGACTTGGCAAATTTTGCAAAATGGTTGAATTGGACCTGTATTTATGCATGCTATCTTTTAGTTTAGAAGATCTATTTGGAGTTTCTAGGAAGGAGGAAGAATCTCCATCTGATGTTAATTAACCCGGAGAAAGCATATGATAGCATATCTGGTTATGCTAATTTTCAAAGTGCCACAAGTCTGGCACGAAGATTTTTGTTGCAGCTTTATGATGAGGGCTTGAGTCAGAAAATTGGACAAAACAAAGTGGAATCTGATTATTAAGAATAAGAAAGGGCTTGAACTATCAATGTGTATGGTATTGACTGTTGGGTGGCTTGGACCTCTAAGGCCTAGAATATCCACTAGGTGAATGCCATATTAATGTGGATGATAAGATAGATGTGTTATTATTATTATGCTAGCAGTAGCTTATTCTTCAATTTTATTATTATTATTGTAGTATTTTTCACTTTGGTTATCTTTACTATTTTTACTGTCATTACTTTTTGTTTTTCAATATTTTCATCATATCTTTTTGCTCGTGCATTTTTTTTTCCAAACCTGTCCTGAAAAATGATTTTCTTCACCCGAGGGTTTATGGGAAACATCTCTACCCCACCCTCCCTCGACCTCACTTGTGGGTCTACACTGGGTATGAGGTTGTTGTTTCTAAGATAGATGTGCGGTTATACAAAACTGGACCAGGTTAGAAATGTATAGAGGATGCAAGTGACATAGAGAGGATTAGTGAAAGAATATTACCTGAAATAGTTTCAACATATCCTAAGCAGACTTTGGGTCTGTGCCTGTGGATGCAATACTATAATGATTGAAATTATTAAGGTATAGAGTAGCAATTGCTGCAAAAGACGATAAATCAAGGTGGATTAGTTAAAAGCACAAAGGAAGTAAAGGATCTATAAAATTGCTCATTTTAGTTGGGATTGAGGTTAAGTTTTTATTATATTCACGGTTGGTTCAGTGTTATCTTTTGGTATTCTTAGTCTAGTTATAGATTTGCATGTCAATGCAGGGATGAATGTGAGTTTTAGATTATTTCTAGTTTTGAAGAACCTCTGTAGTAGAGAACAATGATACATAGGATTTATGTAATGTAACCTATCTATTTCAGAATTGAGGGATACTTGATGTTTAGAGAGTTATCTCCCAGTCTCCCACACTTCTTGAGTATTTTTGTACAGTTGGAAGAACTGGTGAACCGTGTGAGTTGGTTTGAATAAGAAGTATGTAGGACAGGTGGCTTGAGTACACCTTTTCATATATCAAGCCTTTTCTTCTCTTGGTAGTGACTCACCTTTTGAGCAGTTTTTTCCTTGTTGAGACTGCCGATGATTGATGCTATTTCCTTCATAGAGCTACTATTAGCAGGTCTCAGGATTTTGTGATGGGAAAAGAATGAATATACACGCTCATCAAATTAAGAATTTAAGATGACTTGTCAGCTGCTTTCTTTTCCTCCAAATCTCAAAAATACTAGCTCATACTATTGAAAATTTGAAATTGTGCAGTTTTTACATTTCATATAGATTCTGTAGAGATACATGGCAAAGGCCAAAGGGTACCGCATAGAAGATATGTGAAATTACTAATTTTTGGCACATAAATCATCCAGATCGGAGAAGTTTGTTTTATCAGATGAAAGACATAATATAATAATGAATTAATTAATAAACATTCAACCTTACCAGTTTAAAAATAAATAAATTAATTAATAAACATTAATAATTCAAAAAAGAAAAGGTTGGATGACACTCTGATTATCAAATGTTCAGATATCACTAATTGTGTGTAAAACTCACAGGTACAAGAACATAACCATCCTCATATTCTTCTTCTGCAAATTGGGAACACATTTTGCAAGCTCCCAGGTGGACGCCTAAAGCCAGGAGAAAATGGTGTGTTCTTGTCTTTATTTGTGACACATTGATTCTTATCATACTATTAAAAATTAAATTAAATTAAATTCTTATCATACTCTCTCCCTTTGTTTTTCTGTTAAGTTGTGAATTTCTTGTTAAGTTTCTATGTTTTTCTTCTCTCTTTCGTTATTTGCAGAAATCGAGGGTTTGAAAAGGAAACTCTCCAGCAAACTTGCTGCTAATCCTCCTGCCAATCAGCCAAATTGGAAGGTAATTTGGTGCCTGTTACACTGTTTAGTAGTCCCTCTGTTTTAATTTGTCTGTTTTACTTTTCATTTTTAGTCTATTTAAAAAAGAGCGTCTCTTTCCTAATTTGGAAACTCTTTAATTTCAACATCCCATGTAGGATGTTTAAGGCCACAAGATTAAAAGACATTTTGGTACATTATATAGATCTTTAGTTTAAGACCACAATATTTAAGAGTCTTTTTACTTTCTTAAATTTCGTGCCAAGTCAAACTAAGACAAACAAATTGAAACATAGTAGTTTTTTTTTTTTGTATAAGAGATATAGGGGTATGGAGGTATTCAGCACACTTTGTGTTGTATGGAAATAGTGATAAAAGAAACGAGGATTGGACATCTTTTTATGGTATAAGGTGAAAGTTCTCCACTGTCACGTCCCGAGCCTACACCCTGGGCAAGACTGGCACTTGAGAACCATTGCTGGCCCTAAGCGAATCCTTGGCCTGACTTAACTCTTAGCGGAAGGCTTACTGATAATAAAATCACTTTAAAAAGTAACTATAACTCAAATGATAAATTAGAATGTTTTAGAAATAAAAATTCAACTAGCCAAAGTGGCAACTCAAGTTTCAACATAAACAAAAGGAAATGAAAAGACTCATGAACTAATAATGTCTAACTATCTATGAAGTCTCTAATACTATGAGGGATGTCGGGACAAAACCCCCGATCATTCCAACAACTGAAATGACAAAACACACCAAAGGGATCCTCCGGAAGCAAGGAGACTCACCACCAACTCTGAAGCTTCAACTGGATCAACAAAGCGCTGGATACTGATCTTGGTTACCTGTATCTGCATCATAAAAGATGCAGGCCAAATGGCGTCAGTACATGGAATGTACAAGCATGTGAGGGGAAATCTAAACAAGAATAAGCTTGAACTGGAACTGAAAGGAACACTTACCTCGTCTCGACTTAACTCATCTCAATGTAAAGGAGTAATAAATCTGCAATAAAAAGAAAAAACTTGAAAACATGTAGATAACAACTCAGTGTATTGAAAGACACAATAATAACTTAGTTTTTGTATATGAAAATACAAGTAACTCTGTAGGAGATTCTCTAACCGACAACCATCACTATGACCTATGTGATGATACTACATCTCGCCCACGCTGCCAAAACTGTTCTATACCTTGCCGGGGTATAGAACTCCTCAACTAAATGGATCTATTAGTCTATGCTAAAAAACATTAAGGAATCATCTAAAAAGTATGACCCTTTCTACCCACGTTGGCTACATGGTTTATGGGGGCTGTGAGTTGTCTGAACTTTCCTCATATCGGTGCTTAATACTACTCCCAAATATAACTAGCTCATATGTTAAAAACATAACTCTTTCTGTGTTTTGAGATTATTACTCAAAAATCTTTCTCTTAAAAGAGATGGTACTCAAACTGCTCAAAACTCTTTTGGAAATCTCAGTTTCCTCTCATCTTAAACATAAAAACATTACTCTTGGGAATACTTAGTTTCCATATATCATTTTAAAGAAAATGAACTCAGCTCTACTCTTTCTCAACTCAGTGCTCAAGTCTATAAAACAAGTTTTAAAACAATTTGTAAAAAGACTTCTTAAAATAGGGTTCATGCCGAATTATGGACGTGAACGACTCAATTCAAGGTTTTTAATAACCATGCATAGAACTCAATACTTGGAGCTTAACAACTCCAAAACTCAAGGAGTCAATGATACTACTCATCTCAAGAATGCTCGACTCGGAGGGTTCATGTAGAATTATGAGCATGAACTACTCAACTCAAGGATTCAATGATACTTCTCATCTCAAGACTGCTCGACTCATAGGGTTCATGCGGAATTATGGGCATGAATGAACTACTCAACTCAAGGACCTTCATAGGTAACATGTAGTAATCCCATGATTAGGAATATAATCTCAAAAGGATTAGAAACTCAATAATCAAGACTTAGAACTTGAAGATGCTACTCCTCAAATATTCTCAAATTATGGAGTTCAAAGCGGAATTTATGGGCATGAACGACTTGACTCAAGGATCTCAATGATAAAGTAGACTCATGAATACATTTTCCTCATTCTCATACTCACTTACTCGAGTCTTGAAACAATTCACAAGTAGTTGTAGAAGACTTCTCAAAAAGACTCAAAAGGGACTTTCTCAAAATGTTCGAAGGAACTCTCAAGGCTTAACTCTTAACTCTACCTTGAATTTGAATTATGAATTCAAGGTTATGATTCATGTTATGAATGATTTCTAGGTGTTTAGAAGTAGTTTAGAGTGTTTAGAATCGATAGGGTTTGAAGGTACCCTTTTAAAGGATTCAAACGGGCAAAACGACGAAGAAGGGGTGGGGGCAGGCGACCCTGGCGCACTGAGTGGCGTAGGGCGCCAACCCTCTACTTACAGAGGTGTGGTTGGGGCGCACTGGCTGGCGCAGGGCACCAACCCAGAAAACCCCGACGACTTTTCTTTCTCGTTTTCTAATCCTAACTCACCTAGAATCGAATGGTTTCTTCCCTAATCACTTAGATTCGAATACCCAACCAAAGTACACAAGAATCTACACAAAAAACTCTTAAAATCCATACAATTATCTCAAGAACTCATCGAAACCCCAACAATCAAGATTACGAAAGGAATTTCAAGAAAACACTTCAAGAACTCAAATTCTTCAACTTTAAGAACGAATTTGTACGGAAAATAACATGATTGACGTGTGGGTGAATGAACCCAACACTATGAGAACTTACATACCTCTTAGGATAAAATCCTTGGCGAAAACCCCTCGAAGATCGTAAGAATCTTGATCGTCTTGAACCTTCCCTCTTTTCTCTTCTTGAACTCTCTTCTAAAACCCTATGTGTTTTGGATTTATGAAAAACTGACCCAAATCAGATTTGTCCCCAAAATATTACTAAAATTCGTTTTAAGCTGATTGAGTAAGGAAAAGACCAAAATACCCCTCCTTAGTTCGGATGGAAAGACCCTATCTAGAGAGGCTGCACTCAAACGGTCATATCTCCCTCATCCGAGCTTGAAATTTAGCAAACTCGGTGGCGTTGGAAAGAGAACTCGGAGATCTTTCATTTGATACCTTAAGGGTCTCCTAACTCATCATGTGCTAAAAGTTATGGTCGTTTGAAGTTGACCCAAAACTTAGAAGAACCTAGGAATGGCTTGAATGAATTTCTCTTTAGTTCTTTTGGAACTCAAGGTGCTACATCTAGTGACCTTAACACTTAAGAAAATTTAAATTCCTCGTTAAAATCCTACTCACAACGAAGGATGGTTCGAGTCTTAGCTCAAAAAATTTCTAGGGTGTTATAGCCACATGGTTAATTTTGAAGTACAATTTGTATAGTTGAATATATAGGTGTTAAATGGGCTGGCTGGTTCAAATAGACTAAGAGCGTGTTTGGATTGACTTAAAGTTGGTCAAACTTACTTTTAAGTCAATTTTAGCTTTTGAGAATGTTTGACAAAGTTGAAAATAACTTAAAATAAGTTAAAAATGACTTAACAAAAGTTAAAAGTTAAAAGTAGGTACTCCCCTACTTCTCATTTTTTAACTTAAAAGTTACTGAAGTTTGACTTTATAAAAACAACTTTAAAAACAACTTTTTTTAAGTTAATCCAAACGGGCTATAAGTTGATAAATAACCTGGCCAAAAGTTACCTGGGCTGAAATGGGATAAAAAGTGTATCAAAAGCCAACCTGCCCAATTATTACTTGGCTTTATTTGTTCTTTTATGAGGTATAACTCTCTCTCTCTCTTTCTCTTTCTCTTTTGAAATATAAATAAATTCACCTCCCTATGATGTGGCATTTGTAAATGCAGATAGGTGAGTGCGTGGCCACCTGGTGGAGGCCAAACTTTGAAACCATAATGTATCCATACTGTCCTCCACACATAACAAAACCTAAGGTACAGTAGTATAAAGTTTTTTTGATTGACTGATCTATCCCGTTGTTTCATATTTGCCTGATTTAATTGGCTCTTTGAATGTCGTGCAGGAGTGTAAGAAGCTCTACCTTGTTCACTTATCTGAAAGAGAGTACTTTGCTGTCCCCAAAAATCTTAAACTTCTTGCTGTGCCATTGTTTGAGCTTTATGACAATGTTCAGGTATAGAATGATTTATGGTTTCTCTGTTGCCTCCTATTCTGTTCTTTCAAGTTAGTTTGCATATAAGAACACTGTGATCAAAGGTTCCTTTACAGGATTGTGTTATCTGGTGTAATCTTCCAACAGCGAGTACTATTCATATATGCGACCATCTTTATAATATTTTCTCATCATACTGATGCTCTCCCTAAATTCATGGCAGAGATATGGACCTGTAATATCTACAATTCCTCAACAGCTTTCCAGATTGCAGTTCAACATGATCCATCAATAGATAGTAGATGGACATTCAAGTTCTCCTCCAGGATAAAAATGGCATCAAAATGATTTGGTGTGGTTCCCATAGTTTGAGGGTGACTGAGGCCTACTCCATGTAATCTTATAGCATAAACTTATACATGTATATGTGTATTTAAAAATTCTAATTGCCCATACATATATAGCTTCTGCTTTGAAAACACATAGATACATACACATACAGTTGACTACAAATAAAATTACACTCTGATACTTCATTCGTGGGATTTTAGCCACTGCATCCCTATTCCAGAGTTAGAGATCAATGAAAGCTCATTCAACAGAATCATAAGCTTTCTGTAGGTCCATCTTAATCATACTTGTGAGAGCACAAGTGCCATTATTGTATAATCTCCAATTCTCTTCTCTGGGATGAACCCTGTATGTGAATAATTTCTGATCTGAGGTGTAATGCTCTTTATTCTAGATGTTTTAACACCTTTGAGATCAACTAATATATCATAATTGACCAATCCTTTTATATGAAAGAGGGCATTAAGTCCATCTAGCTCAGAAACTTTATCATCTCCTCAAATATCTTTCATCTCTACACAAATCTATTTGTTGCCATTACTCACTGCTGGTAAAGATTGAGTAAAATTGAAGAATCTCACTGCTAGTTTTTTGCCTCATAATACTGGAGCAATCAATCAAATTAATATGTTTATTCATCAAGTACCTTCTCAGTTCCTTCTTCTTATACCTACCTTTTATTGGTACTAACCAACTCACATAGTTTGTGTAGTTACGTTGTTCCCCTGGACTCAACACTTGTTCTTCGATTACAATGTAGCATAGTATTTGCTGGTTGTAATTTGGTTATTCTCTTGAATCTGTTTCAGCATTTTAGTGTAAGCTTGTATCTTCCCTTTTGACTTGACTGCAGTTTACCATTCCTATTGTGCTTTAATTTCACCCATCTTTCAGTCATGTGTTGCACTAGTGGTGTCTGAGTTAGCAGCACATTATGCGTTTGATTATTTGAATGAGTAGCTGCAATTAAAGGCTCAAAAGAACTTAAGAGCCTAGAATGTGGGAGCAACTTCAGAAGTTCCTAGAAGCAGGGGGGTTACAGTTTAGCTAGTGATAAATGATAATCAAGATAATTTCATGGAATGTGAGAGGCCTGAATCAGGCAAATAAAAGGTGTGTAATCAAGAATCTAAACCAAGGGTGGAAGACTGATGTTTATTGCTTCCAAGAGACCAAGATTGAAGGGAATGTGAAAAACATTATTAAAGATTTATGGGCAAACAGAGGAGTGGAATTTTGTCAACTTGAAGCTAGTGGTACTAGAGGGGGCATCCTAATTTTTTGGGATGGGAAAGCTTGGACAGGGGAGGTTAGCAGTGTGGGAGCTTACTTTCTATCCTGCAAGTTCGCAAGTAAAAGTCTTGGCTTCACCTGGGTACTTACTGGCATCTATGCTCCAAATAGTAGAGAAGAAAGAGAAGAAGTTTGGTGGGAAGTTGGGTCAGCTAGAGGTCTGTTCAACGGCCCTTGGGTAGTTTGTGGGGATTTCAACACAGTTAGATTCCCCTCTGAGAAGAAAAATTGTTCAAGGATTTTTCTTACCATCTTAACTAGCTTATTGTGGTCTAGAACTTTTACATGTTCATAAAGATACATCCAGTCTCCATTGCCTAGAGTTTTGTCCATTCTGCTAATTACCTTGCCAACCCCTAATTTACTCTTGTTTCTTTCTACTGGAGCAATCAAATTAAAATGTTTATTCATCAAATACCTTCTCAGTTCCTTCTTCTTATACCTTCCTTTTATTGATACTAACCAACTCATATAGTTCCCCCAGACTCAACACTTGTTCTTCGATTTGCAATGTAGCATAGTATTTGCTGGTTGTAATTTGGTTATGCTCTTGAATCTATTTCAGCATGTCAGTGGAAGCTTGTATCTTCCCTTTTGACTTGACTGCAGTTTACAAAGTCCTATTGTGCTTTAATTTCACCCGTCTTTCAGTCATGTGTTGCACTAGTGGTGTCTGAGTTAGCAGCACATTATGCGTTTGATTATTTGAATGTGTAGCAGCAATTCCCTTTGTTGGTAGTATGGAGAATTCTTGATCCATGTTTGCAATATTACTAGGCCCCATATCCCTAGATATTGTTGTTGGGTTTTAGGCCTTTTTCCCTTCCTATGTGGCTAAATAAAAGTCCAAGATTTTGGGTCTTCTTCCTTTTCTTTGTGGATAAATTTAGCCCAAATTTGACTAGCCCACCTTTGCCCATAAGCCCAATATTATGGTGCATATGTAAGACTTTTTTTTAGGTCTTATTTTAGATGAATCACAAGAATTAGATCAGTAGCCATATAGAGAGAATTGTGAGAGAGTGCAGATTTTCGCACAAACCCTAGCAACAAATTTCAAATCGCGATTCTTGCTTCATTTATTATCCGATTAAGCTGATTTTTGGACAGCTTGTTCCTTTCAACTTGATCTTTGATTAGGAACTGAGAGAGGATGATTTGGAGTTCTGTAGCTCCAGATTTTTACTCGTGAACAGTAGCTGCGTATTGGGTGTTTTAGCTCATTTTATTTCTCTAGTTTTTGGTGTTATTTTATAGTTGTGTTGCTCATTGTTTGACACTTTATTGGTGACCATTTTGGAGAACACTTTTGTAACTCTTGTTGATTTTGGTGGAGCTTTGGCCTTGTGGTTTTTACTCTTCACACCGAAGAGGTTTTCCACGTTAAACTTTGGTGTCTTGTGTGTTGATTTATTTGCTTCCCAAACAGTTTTGTTCTTGCATTATTTTGTCTTCTCTTCCTTCAAATAGAAGGGAAGGTTTTGACTTGGGTTTTCTTTCGCTATTGCCTTGTCGTGCACATTTATTTTGTGCTTGCCTTTCCCAACAATTGTTCCCTCGGATGGTCTTGTAAAGTTTTTGCAAAAAAGGTTTTCGAAACTCATATCACTAAAAAAATTATGTACTAACATATACGAAAATTTGAGAAAATAGTCTAATTCCTGTTAGTAGCCCCTAACTGTTAAAAAAGTGTCGTGAATCTAGTGAGATTATATGTATTGTTTCCCTAGGTCATTACAGAAGGTTTTGTAAAAATTTTTGCAAAAAGGTTCCTGAAATTTATATCACCAAAAAATTCATGTACGTTATACACAAAAATTTGAGAAAATCACCTACTTTCTTTTGAGTGGTCCTTAAACTCTAAAAGTGTGGCATCAACCATGGTGAGATTAAAAGTATTGTTCTCCCAAGTCATTACAGAGGATCTTATAAAGTTCTGCAAAAAAAAAAGAGTGCCCAAAATTCGTATCATCAAGAGCTTTAGGTAGTAACTCACACGAAAAATATATATGAGAAAATCGGCTAATTCTCGTTGAGTGACCCTAATTGTTAAAAAAGCGACATGAATCATGGTGAAGCAATAGGTATTGTTCCCCTAGGTCATTAAGGAGGCTCTGTAAAGTTCTTGCAAAATAATTTCTTGAAATTCATATCACCAAAAATATCATGTACTAACACACATGAAAAATTGAGAAAATTATCTAATTCTTGTTGAGCGGCCTCTAAATGCTTACAAAGTGTCATGAATCATGGTTAGACTATAAATAGTATTCTCCCAAGTTATTATAGAGGGTCTTGTAAAGTTTTTGTCAAAAAAGTGCCCGAAATTCATATCACCAAAAACTTCATGTACTAAAAAACACAAAAACTAAAAAAATCTCCTAATTCTTGTTGAGTGGTCTTAAATGCTAAAAAAATGGTGTGAATCATGGTGAGGCTGCATGTATTGTTCCCCCAGGTCATTAAGAATGGTCTTGTAAAGTTTTTGCAAGAAAATTTACAAAATTCATATCACTGAAAAATTCATGTACTAACACACGAAAAATTGAGAAAACCATCTAATTTTTGTTGGGTGGCCCCTAAATGCTAATAAAGTGGTGTAAATCATAGTGAGACTATTGTTCTCCAAGGTCATTATGGAGGGTCCTGTAAAGATATTGCTAAAAAAGTGTCCAAAATTTGTATCACCAAAACGTTCATGTACTAACTCACATGAAAAAAATGAGAAAATCGCCTAATTCCTGTTGAGTGGTCCCTAAATGTTAAAAAAATGGCATGATCATAGTGACACTATACGTATTGTTTCCCCAGGTCCTGTAAAGTTTTGGCAAAAGAAATTCTCAAAATCCATATCACCAAAAAATTCATGTAATAAACACGAATAATTGAGAAAATCGCTTAAATCCTATTGAGTGACCTCTAAATGCTACAAAGTGGTGTGAATCAAAGTTATGCTATAGGCATTGTCCTCCCAAGTCATTATGGAGGGTCTTGTAAAGTTTTTGCAAAAAAAGTGTCAGAAATCCATATCACTAAAACTTCATGTTATGTTAAGTTTGGGTTTTTGGTCAAGTTCAAACAACCACATCCCCCATAAACCATATAGCCATCATGGGTAGAAAAGGGTCATACTTTTTTTGATGCTTGCTTAGTGCTTTTTAGCATAGACTAGTGGATTTACTTAGTGGTCAGGTTCTATACCCTCGGCAAGGTATAGGACGACCATGGCAGCATGAGGCAAAATGTTGTATCATCACAATAGCTCTTACGTGATGGTTGTCGGTTAGAGAAATTCCCACAGAAGTATTTGTATTTTTATATACACAATTTAATTGTATTTTTACATACATTTCAGAGTTATATTATTTCTTTGCGTACACACAGAGTATTATTGTATTTCCAAATACACAGAGTTGACATCCATGTTTTAAAAAGTTTTTCTTTATATTGCACTTGTTTTATATTGCTTTATATTGAATTGAGTTCAGTTAAGTTGAGTTGAGTTGAGCCACGTAAGTTCTTCAGTTCCTTTCAAGCTCATGTCTTCTTTTAGAATTCCCCTCGCTTACTCGTACATTCAATGTACTGATGCCATTTGGCCTGCATCTTTTAATGATGAAGACACATGTAACCTGGATCAACATCTAGCGCATCGTTGATTCTAGTTGAGCTCCAGAGTTTGTTGGTGAGCATCATTGCTTCCGGAGGACCCCATTTTATTGCTTTTAGTAGTTTTAGTTCATTAGGATGTCGTGGGTCTTGTCCCGACATCCATCTCAGTTGTTTAGAGGCTTCATAGATAGTCAGATGTCAGTTCTTTAGTCTTTTCATTTTCATTATCTTAGTTGAGACTTGTGGTTGCCTTATTGGCAAGTTGAATGTTTTCTTTATAATATTCTAAGTTTTTATATGAGCTATCTTTGATAAGTTAAGTCTTCCGCTGAGTAAGTAAGCCAGGCC